CCAAGAAGCTGAGGAAGAGCTAGACCTAAAAGCCAGTGTTCTGGTTTCTACCAGGATAGACTACTGGCTGTGTTCCCTCCCTCCTTCTTTTGCACCTGCTTGCTGGCAGAGCACAGGAACCTGAAAATTCCTTAAATTTGGATAAGTGGTCCTTAGCAACTACTAGGACTACAGTGTGTTATCGACATTATTCTCACACTAAATCCAAACCCATCACAGTACCAGCTACTAGGAAGAAAAGTAAGTCTATCCCAGGCAAAACCAGGGCAGCTGGCTGAGAGGAGGGCATTAAAGAAGGGGGGAATATGGGCTGCTGAATGTTTGAGGTCAGACTGGAGGGGTGGAGGGTTTCCCAACAGTGATGGTAACAGCAACAGTTAAATATGGGTTTTAGGATGAGAAGGGAAGACAGTGAGGCAGCATCTAAAGAGTGGTGCAAGAAATCGGCAATTGAGTATTTGTCTGTAAAGTCTATAGAAAAAATGAAGTTATTTTTTCAATAGTTATTCAGGATCCAAAATGTCTGACAAATACCATTCTTTGTTCTCTTGATTTTATAACTGTGTCATCTAAATCTTGGCTTCTGCATTGTGGTTGTTTAGGGTCTGCCCTTTGTGAGATATTTTGCACAATGTAGCCTTCAAAATCTTCCTCATGTTTATTACTACTCCTGGCATTTTTTTTTTTCTTCCAAATGTCATCTATTTCATTTGAGAATTGTACCCTGAGGTATTTCAATTATGTATGAATGTGGAGTATTTGGGATGAGCTATTCACAAGTGCTTTCAATTTGCCATCTGAGCTTTGAATATGAGCAGAGTTGCCAATATTTTAGTTTCTAGGGCACGTTTAAATGTGCAGTCAAGATGCAGCTTTTGTTCCTCAGCGCTTAGGTTTTTACCCTGTTTCTAGTGAGACCTTATGAACTTCCCACATGAATTTTCTGTTGAGTAAATTGCTAGCACAGAGCAAGGAAATTCCTGTTGGCTTGTAGCACAGATGTCTACTCTGAGACCTTCCTTCCTCTGGTAGCACTCTCTCTACAGTCTTCCTCTTTAGCTGAACATGTTTGATTTGAGTTTTTGAATGACAGGTGATTGACTTGCCTCTCATTTGTCACCATGTGAAATCTCCTGCTCAAAAATGTGATGTCTTTTTTTATTGCCTCTGTGTAGGTAAATGGTCTTTCCAGAACAGTTTGTGTTCTTTTTTTTGATTTGGAAGAGCTCAGTACAGTCTTCACCCATATTCTGTCACTCCAGCATTCAGGCATATTGGTTGATGCCTGCTTTTGCGTTTGTGATGGGAGGAGGCAGAAGCAGTTGAAGGTGGGAGGAAAGATGAGCCAAAGACTGTGAAGGTCTTTTCTTACTGTCAGGCTTTTAATGGGAAGAGACCATTAAGGTGCTGCATGGAGATGGAAGGCAGAGGAGAGTAGAGTTTGAGGGATGAGTTAAACAGTGTATGAAGAGAGAGCTGGTACTGTGCACATGGGATTAAAACATGTTGGACTAAAGAAGTATTTGCTGCAGTAGGGCTGTGTTAGATAGAAAGATGTCAGAATTGAACATGTAGCCATTCTGATAAGAAAAGAATTGAGGGATGACTACAGAAGGCTCCTCCTCTCTCTGAGCATCGCGGAATAAAGACCTTCAGTCCTCAGTTGCCTCCTAAGACAAATGATGTTATGTCTGTAGGAGTTGTCCCATGTGGTGCCATAGATCAAGTGGATCGGTAGCCACTGGAAGAAGGTGCACAGTAAAAGTGATCTCTGCAGATGTCTGGGTAGCATTGCCGTGACTGTCACCTGTGGAAGCAGAGGGTGTTGCTGCCATCACCCTCATCTGCTGTCCAGCAGCAGTTGTTGAGCCGGTCCTTCTGATGGCATTTTTGCTTTTGGAGCACATGGAAAGGACACAAAGCTATAGTGCTGTCACAGATCAAACCAGAAGCTCTGGTGAGTGGTTTAACGAATGTTTTTGGGGACCAGCTTCTGAATGTGCCTATGAAGGTTTTGCAGCCAATTTCTGGCAACTCAGCTTTTTCTGCAGGCTGGTAACTGTTAAATACTGCTTCTAACGCATTTACAGAACAGGGAGGGGGAATGCTGTGGGCTTCAGTAGGCAGGATCTTAATGATTTGAGGTAGAATGACATAAGCTTGATGGGAGGACAGGGAGAGGGAAAATAAAGGCCATATGGGATCCTAGGCGCTTGCAAGGATCTTGGAAGCTATGCCTTTGCCAGTTGTCTGTACCCAGCTGCTGTTTCACAGCAGCCTTAATGCCTTCCAACATTATGCTGCTGCCACCCATCTTCCCAAGAGAGCTGAGCATGATAAAGCTTTGAAGAATGCTTCTCCAAAATAAGAAAAATTGTGCCAAGAACAAAGGCTGTGCTTGGATAGGCAGGAAAGTGCCCAAGGAGAAAAAAGTGGGATATATATATAACATTGGAGGAAAGGGAGGGTGCCAAGTGCACAGGGAACTCTGCTAGCAAAACCTATGGAGTATGTAGCATCCTAACAGGAAACCGGTGATATCTCAGTAGACAGTTGCATGATGGGCATGCAGTTTAAAGTAGCTGCTTGCAGACCCAAACCAGCCCATGTCAAGGGACCACCTGGCTCACCAGCAGACTGTCTGATCCCTTGGGGGAGACTCTATAGGGAACATGAAGTGAGAATGGAGCGGAAGAGTCTCACGGTCAGCTAAGACTTACTGCAATAGGGGAGCGAAGGTGTAGGACACTTTCCTAGACTTAGAGATTCCTGCTTTGTTTTCAGTTCAGCTGCTAATCCAAGGTCAAAAATAATCTGTCTGCATCTTTTGCCTCTGCTGCCTTGACTACGGATTTTCAGCACTTGATGTGTGGTCTCTGCTGACATACTAGTAACCTAATCTTACTTTTGATGCCAATAATCATGAAATACCTTTGCTGTAAATTTGGAACAATCTACCCTTTGTATGCATTCCAATGTTAAGATGCTCTCTGGAGCCCTGATTAATAAACTAAATGACTTATCATTATTAGCGGGTCTTCAGCCATAGCATTTGGGAAAGCATAAATTTGGCAGCTTTCAAAAGTGAGTGGGGCATGATCATAGACTCTACAAACATTCCTGCCTTTGTCCTCATCTGGAAACTGATTCTATCAAAAAAGGGCTTTTTTGTTTTTTTTGTTTTTTTGTTTTTTTTTTTTTAAGCTAAGTAATATATATTTAAGCCTTCCTTTAAATAAATACTGTATTTCTTTTCAGAATTAGTGTGCATTCGTCCTTGACGTGACAGTTACTTCAAAATACAAATCTCATTTCCCACAGGTTTCCTACATAACACACTGCTCTGGGATCAGTTCCATGATGCATGAGTTCCTAGGGAATATTACATCACTATATCTAGAATACCAGTGCTGGGAGATACCCCATTTAGAATAGGGAGAAGCTGTTCAGTTGAATTTTGTTCCTTTCTGAGATCAGTGAGATATGAGTTACTGGGAGCACCACGGCAAATGTGAGCATTTTTGTTCTCTGAGTATTTTAATGGACTTTCCTTTAGGAAGGAGTGTGTTGGTAAGAGAAACAGATGCATATACACGAAAGCAATGCTCCATGTTTTGGATGGTTGAGGTCTCTAGCAAGATTAACAAAAGCTCGTTGTGGATACATCGGTCCAACAAGGAAGGCCAAATTCCTTTTCCCTGTCCCTGAATACTGAGGAAGTTTCAGCATTTGAGTATTTCAGAGCCAAAGTCACAAAGGTGGGCCTGAGCAAATTTTTCAGAATATTTGCATTTTTATCTGTTTAAATCTTTACAAGTTCCATGGTGCTACAGTACTGTTTGAATGACTGAGCACAGTGTCTTCTGCTTCTCACTTCTCTTTCCAGCAGGTTATTTCTACTGACTTTTAGAACAAGATGAAGGTCAGATGCCTAGTTGATATTAATAGGTGTTCAACCTGGGTGAAAGTTACGCTTTTAAAAGACTGTCAGTGAAACAAAATCGAAGGCTTGTGTACAAAGGAAGGGTTATATGTTTTCTCCCCCTGCATGACAATGCAGAAGACTCCTCTTCTAGAGGGATCACTTACAGGAATGAAGCAATAGCTTCACTTCAGTGCTCTTTCAGTCGGTGAGACTGTGTTTGGTTAATTATAGTCACTTTACTAAGAGGTAAATGTTCCCACACTCCTAACACAAACATGGACGTCCACCTATAGATGATGGTGACAGCTCTCTTGAAATGCACAGCGATGTGGACTGCACTGTAGCACAGTGCAGGCTGGAGCTGCTGCAGCCTGCTACAAATGAGCCAGGCATCTCCCTGTTAACGGCAGCATATTCTGCTGCACCCTGCTTCCTGGTTCAGTCTGGTTTGGTGGGTTGTCTCCAAATCCTGATCTCTGTAAAGGATCTAAGAATTAGCGCTGTGCCTGGACAGTTTGATGAGGATGTTCTGGCTGGTGGGGCGTGTGTGTTGCTGGCTCCTCACGTTCGTGGGGGTGCTCATGCGTTTGCGTCATGGCCTAACGGTTGCTGCCAACAGAAATAAATCTGAATATTACTGCAGTGAAGCTAATGAGCCATTTCCTTCTGGTCCTCTTGTAGGGGCCGTTTTTGAAACTGAAGTTCCCATGCTCTCCTTTTGCTGGCAGCATTGAAACCTATGCAGATTCTGTACAACATGTAATCTCAGTTATGGCTGGAGCCTTTTCCTGCTAAGCAAATGGTCTTTAAACAGCACAGCAGTGGCAAGAACCTCAGGAAGCCCTTAAGCTGAGGTGAAGGATGCTAGTGGTAGCTGTGCCAGCTAACCTGAAGTGGTTTTAGAGCAACAGCCCCTTGAAAGGGACTTTAGATTAGTTAGCAGTTTATGAAAAGTATCTGCAGCCTTGAGCCTCGTCTTGTCTCCAGTTGAGCTGAGCAGGTATGTTAGCAACTGCATCTCTTCCCTTTGGATTCCTTATATCCTTCTGACTTTTTTTACCATTTCTCATTTTAGATTTATGTCCATCTCAAAGAAGGGAGTGGTGTTGACGGGCTGGATGCTTTGAAGAACAAACCACAGCTTCACAGTATGGTGGCCAAAAACCTTTGTCAGAATGCCTCTGGGAAGAACTACATCATCTTCACTGGCCCAAGCATTACCAGCCTGAATCTCTTTGAAGAATTTGAGAAGCAAGGTGTGTATCAGGTGATTCGCTGGTTTTTAATGATGACAGACCTAGGGGTCTTCTGCCACTGAATTAAAGCAACTCCCAAAGGCTTCACTGATATTTCAGTTCTTTGTATAGATAAGTTGGTTATCGCTAAGAAAAGTCCTCATCAATGGGAAGGTACTATACAGAGGTCTTTCTAAGTTGCTCTTTAAATCTTCCTCTTTAAATCTTCTGAAAGTTAAAAATGAGGATGTAAAAACATTTTAAAAAAGGTTATTTAAAGACTTGGCTTTTGTTCTTTGCCTTAGAAAAGTGAGGTCTAATCTCCTGTATGGCCTAGGGGACTTTTCAAAGGATTTCCTAGCTACCTGTGATTTTCCTGTCCTATTGTGAGAGACTAAGGATGGGATGAATCTTTAAAGGTGTGCCTTAGAAGTCCTTGCTGGTTCAATGTCTGTTAAAGATGTGACTTCTCTGAATGGCATTTTATTCAGTGGTAAATTCAGTTAGAGCCCTGGGGGGGGGTGGTGTTTACTGATTCTACTGCAAAGCAGCTAACATTTTGCCAGCACCTGCTGGGATTCTCCTGCATTGGCAGTACATCTGGGGAGAGGCAGGCAAAGAAGCCTAGACGGAGCAGAGACATCTCTCCTAATGTATCACACAGACACCTTCAGGGCCACACCAGAAGTGTCATAAGAGCCTGTTAAAAAGCATCCATGCTCAGGTGCTCATGATCATTCAAGACCATTCTTAAACTGACAAATTTACTTTTCTTTTTAAAGAAAATTTAGTTTCTGGGCTAGAGCAGGATCAGCAGTAGAAAGATCCCATTGGGAAGAGAAAAAAACTGTTACTCTTAACTGCTTACTGTTACTCTTAACTGCTTTATGCTGGGTTGCCTTTTTTTGTGACTATCAACAGAGGAGCAGGGGGAGATTTAAACAGGCTAATGTTTAGAAACTATAAACTTATAAACTATAGAACTGACATTTAAGGGAACTAAGGGGAATTCTGGAAAATCTAGAAAGAGGCATGCACTAAAAATGTATTAGTCCCTGTCAGAATTCTTGGTGAACAGGACCTGGGGTCTTGGCAGCCAGGGAGTGTTAAACATGAGTCAGCAGGTTCAGCAAAGATGGTCAACACTGTCCTGGGCTCTGCTAACAGGAGTGTAGCTTGTAGATTGAGGGAGGTGATTATTGCCTCCTACACAGCACATTTTTTGACAACACACACCTCAACACAGGAAAGACATAGATAAACTGAAGTAAGTTCAGCAGAGGGCCACCAACCTGGCCAGAGGCTGGACCACAGTGCTCTGCTATGGGGAGGGATCTGTGCTTGTTCAGCCTGAGAAGGCTTCAGAGAGACCCAACAGCAGCCTTATGCTACCCTAGGGAGGTTATCAAGAGAATGGAGCTGTTGGATCTTTGTGGTGGTGCCTTGTGGAAGGGTGAAAAACAACAGGCATAAGCTGAAACAAAAAGAGAATTTCAGGCTAGATGTAAGGTTTTTCCTGAGGGCAGTGGAGCAGGGTGCCCAAGACAGGTTGTGCAGGCTCTGTCCTTGGAGGTTTTCAAGCCCAGACAAGATAAAGCCCTGAGCAGCGCTGTCTGACCTCAGAGCTGACACTAGACTGAGCAGGGGACAAGACTAGAGACCTCCCAAGTTGCCATCCAGTGTGGATTATTCTTTATTCCATAGGATCCTATGAAGAATTTTGAGGAACCTTAGCTATTGTTTGCTTTTCCTAACCCTAACCTACACATATGTTAGTGCAAACCCACACAGTGATTTTTGTTGAAAGCCTGCTGTGTAGCACATTCACTGGACCACAGCAGAGGATATCTGCCTAGTAGTATAAACAGATGTTGGTGAACATATTTCTAAAATCTATGAAGATCTCAAGAGTTGAGAAAACTTCAGAAAATAAGACAGGGTACTTTGATCTTTTTCAAAATCAAAAAAAATTAGTAGATCGCTTTTTTATTTTTTTCAGGGGACATACAAAGCATTTTTTTTCTCTGGCTTCTGAATAGAACTGGAAGCCTGTACTGAAATGCCCCAAATCCTCTTTTCTGCTAGCAAAGGGCTGTGGTTGTCGTTTGCTGTGACATACATTTATAGTGCATGTCCCTTTTTCCTCCTCTAAGCATTAGTGTTGTACCTTACAGAGGATAGAACCTTCTAGACCCCTGTGTCTCTCGCTTCCCTTAAACATATGATCCCCAAAAGTCCCTTTTGCACTTTCTGAGCCACCAGGAGCAGCTGGGTCTGTTCTGCAGAGTGGCTGGGTTTGGCAAAGCTGCAAGACTTGCCAGCCTGGGTGATCATGGCACTCCCACGAGCTTTTCAGGATCCTGCAACTCCAGCACATGGGCTAAAGCAAACTCATGAGCTAAAGCAAGCTCTCATCTCTTTCCCATAAGAAGCCACTCAGCTGCCCTAGCTCTGTGTTGACCCAGCATTGCATTGCAGGATAAATGATTGCAAAATGTGTATTTTTGCCTGAACTAGCTCAAGACTGGCTGACTTTGGAAATGGTGCTAATGAAGATGTGGTGAAACAGGCTTCAGCAACAAGTTTTCTGGTGCCTGGAGACCCTGGGAATGAATCTTGGGTGACTACACCACATTTCCTCATCTTTGCAAAGCTAGGTTAGGGGTTTGCATTTATACTGCAGTGAGAGTTTAAGAAGACCAGAGGAGGACAGCTTGTCTCCTTTGGCTCCTGTGTATGTGGCAAACACCTGTTGTGATCCTGATTTAATTACAGAGAAAAACATGATTGAGCCAGATGGGCATAATTTTTATTGCTTCTATTGCTATAGTGACTGGCTGGTTTTAAAAAACTCTACAGATTAAGGGTGTAATCCGTGTTGACAGACACTAGTAGATCTGCAGAAGTGCTGCACATTTCTAGGCTGTAGAGCAGGAAGGTTACACAGCATGTTCCTGGGAGTGGAAATGGTTCCCATTGTTCTGTGTGAGGAGTGAAACATCTGCTGGAAGCCCTCTGCAGGCTTGTTGACTTAGCTGAAGGAACGGCTACAATTAATTATTATGGGAACTAAAAGATGGTTGTTGCTATTTTGAAGATCTAGCACAGTCATATAGTTACTAGCTTGGGTTTATACCCCTGCAGTCTCCTGGAAAGAGTACCACCCTTCAGTGAGTCATCAACTTTAGACAGCTAAGGAAATTCTTCTCGGGCTTGCTTGTTAGCAGAGCAGGAAGATCTTAATATTGTCTAGAAGAAAGATTTCTAAAAGCTTTCTATGTTAATGTTGAAGTTTGCAGGTTCATGGCTTATGCTGTTTGTGCACCTCTTGACAGGAGAGGAATTGAAAAAAAAAAAAAAGCCCAAATATTTCAGTGACTGATTCACTCATTAGAAATAACCAATGGACAGACTTCCTCCTTCAGAATGACATTGCCCCATTACTGTGTTGGTTGACCTTCTGACATAAGCACCTTAAATTTCTGATGGAAGACCCGTAGCTCCTTGTAGATCTGCCCACTGCTACTGGACTGATTAATGAGTGCTAACGATTATTGTGTTAGTATTCCTGTTGTATCTCTGAGCTGCTGAGGGGATGCTTGACGTGCCAGGCACTATATGAACCAAGGACAAAGGCTGCACCTGCATGCAAGAGCTTAGGTCATTCCAGAAAGACGGTGGCAGAAGAGCCACAGAAGTGGAAACCCAAGAGCAGAAGTAACATGCTCAGGGAAAGCCAGACACTGTAGTCTGACTTAGCATTTCCCCTGTAAGGATATCCAGTTATCCAACATGCACGATTCAGCATGATGAAAAGATTTGATCAGGCAGACTTAGCTGACAGATGAGCTTTACCACAGGCCTCTGCTGCTATGTGAAAGATGTGCAAAGGTGTCACCTGCTTCCATGCCTTTTGGTTTTTTTTCCACTCAGGTGTGTTAACACAAAACCTAGGAAGATGGAAGAAATTTCCATCCAAGATTTCATGGAGTTCAATTAATTTGATCAAGAAGATTTGCTCAAGCCTCTCGTGGACTGACAGAAACAGGCTGTTATTATTTCACAGCCTAATGTCAAATTCAAGAATTGTCATTATAAATGTTGCTTCCAAATTTTGTTTGTGCCTACTTGGCTGCATTGAGACATGTTAGATTTTATTCATTGCCTCTTTAACATATGAAAAGGCCAAAAAGGCTGTGAGGAGCAGAATGTTATCTGTGGAGCCTCTGATGTCTGTGCAGGACAAGATCTAGTGCTCACTCAGCCAGGGCACTGTTTGTTTTATCTCCTTTCCCTAAAATACATTTTCATTGAACTTGTATTTCCATCTCCTCCATCTGTGGCACATGTATTTTTTAAATCAAGCAGTGGTTTCAGTGGTTTCTTAATTGCTTAAGCAGCATTTCCTTAGCAAACCAGATGATGCATATGCAAGCAGTAGTGAGCTGAAAATCAAGAACTGGGCAGCACAGTGAAGCAGTAGGTAAAACCAGGGTTTGTCCAGTATGTATATTGTGATTAAAAGCAGCATGGGAGTCATGCAGGAGAATGTATTTCTGTTAACATCTAAGATGCTATTGCTTTCCCTACATCCCTGCTCTCTCCACATTTTATTCTTAGTTTAACATCAAAGATTCTCTTAGATCATAAATTTTTATTTGTTCCATAATGCAGATTATAGATGTTATTGTTGAGAAGATACCCTGAATTCCTGTCCTTGTCATTTCATCATGACTGTGTGGGACATGTCAATACATTTAATCAAGAGAGCAGGTTTGGTGCACTTGTCTCAGTTTCCAGAGACATTCATGTAGGATACAGATCTTTGGTATTACAGGAGGACAGATGGCTACCGTATCTGTTGGCCTAGGAAGTTGTAGGACAAGCTCTTTCTCCAGCCATGTCATTCAGACTTGCTCCACTGCCCATGTTTTCTGAGTCCAATGGCTTGCTAATAGGGAATGGTTTTGTTCCTATTCAGGGATTTACTGCTGTGGGTTGCTGAGCACCAGGAAGAGTGACTGCACAGGCCTACCTCCATCCATGCTGAACAACCCAGAAACTCCCCAGTCCAGAGGACAGTACAGAATAAGAATGAAGGGAAACATGTCCTTGATCTGCTGGTACAATAAAGGGCACTTTCGTTTTCTGACCAATGCCTATTCACCAGTTCAACAAGGTAAGCAATATTCTGCTGCTCATCTCAAAAGTGCACATGCTTTATGTGACAAGGCAAAATGAGTCACTGAGTTTGACAGTAAGCCTGAACAAAGACCCTGATCATAATATCCTAGATAAACAGTAGCAATAGTGATGACTTCCAACAGCTACTCTTTTTCCCCATGAAAGCCTACTGCTAATGCAGCCTCCTTTGCCTGAGCTGGTGGAGGTAGTATCCTTTTAGGTATAAAGATTATATCACTGCTGATGGCCAGAGGAAGAAGATGGTTGTTGTATAACACTATACTAGCCCCATTTTACAAAGCATCTTGTAGGACTGCTGCTACAGAAAAATTAATAAAGGTCATGATGTACTCAGAACTCTGAGCAGATCCTACAATTAATTTATTTTATACAGTAAAAAGTCACAAACAAACATCTTTTTGCCAGAAGTAAATATGATTAAGGCTTCCTGTTGTATGTTAAATTGATTTTAGCAGTTGATGAAAAGAAAACAAAACAGATAACTTGGGTAGTTCAAATAATTGCAAAGAGCTTCTTGATACTGATTTTTTTTCCTTTTTGAAAGTATGCAGATGGTTTTTTAAAAGGTTTGGAAACATCTCTAAGATGCAATATGATTAGCTAACTCTTTGAAATTTGCCTTTCAGTGAAAATACTGTTTCAGTTTATTATTTAGATTACTGTATAACTGCCTGAGACAAATAGGAATAACCTAAACCTTTAAATGTAAAGCCACCAATTAAAAGGCACCTTGTACACTCATGTTCTAAATCCTGAGTGACTCTCACATGTGTACAGGCTACAGGAGCAAAGTTAAGGCCTTGAAATACAGTATGGTAGGCTGGGAAATTGGTTTAGTCTGTTGTTCAGCACCTTGCCAGAAGGCTTATTACCTTAGCAAAGTGTGGCTGGTCCTAAGGAATTCTGCCAGGCATCCCAGCAGAGTGAGGACTTGGTGACTTGGATGGACTGGTGTCTGAGCACAAATGCTGAAAATAAGTATGTGAAGGAAATATGACACTCTGGGGACTACAGTGACGCCAGTCCTTGGAGCAACGTTGCTCCCCACGAGGGGCATTCACCATCAAGATTTGTGCTGTTTCCCTTGTGCGCGTTGCTGGATTTAGATTATTCAGCTGCAGTAACTGGACAAGAGTTATCACTACGTGTCACCTGGTTTTTATAGGCCAGCACCAAGTATTTGGTTATAATTCATAAATATTGCTAGAAAAATACTCCGTAAACATCAGTGTTAACTGCCCTGTTAAAAGAGGGAGCAAGAGCAGACGGTGCTGGCAGCATCCTTTACAAGCAGCACACAGAGGAGTGAGCTATTGTGCTTGTGATTGACCTTGGGTCTGTTTTGGCATTGATTTGATTCTAGGTTGTGTGCGTGTAAGGTAGTTTAATGTCCACTGATTAGGACCTGTGTGTGTGAGGGGCAAGACCTGTCCAACACATTGCTCACCAAATGCTGTCTGGGACAGTTGAGATAGTTCATGGTGAATCAGAGCAGAAAACAGAGTTTTTAAAGAGTGGTGCTGGGGGAGAGCGAGTCTAGTGGAGAGCTGGGAACAGATGGAGGCTCAGTAGGAAGGCAGGAGACCAGATTGTCTGCCTCTAATTTGGCATCCCCGAAGTCAGTACAGCAAAGCTGGTTTAAACCACCTTGAGGCTGGACCACTGAAGTGTACTCTAAGGCATGTAAATACAAAGGAGGAAGAGGAGGAATCTATGCTCCTTGAGGCATGTCTGGAGCAGGGACCTGCTGAGCACATATGTTAGATGGGAGAGGAGGTAAGGGCTAAGAGGAGTAAAACCCAGGCAGGGCAGTTGGATGGGGACTGATGCCACTGGGATCACCTGACAACCCAGGGTGTGTGTTTGCATTTGGTTGAGTGTACATGTTGATAGGGGTGGAGGAGGCCATGAAGAGAAAACTTTAAACACAGAAGGCAAGAAATGGTCAAAACAGAACTTAGGATGAGAGAAGAGGTGGATGAAGCTAATAATGAGATATTATTGAAATTCAAAGGAAAGCTGAGAAGGTAAATCTTGCCTGTATTTGGAGTGCAAATCCCACCCAAGCCAGAGACACCAGGAGGGCAATACACTTGTCAGAGCTGATCTATGAATACTATTCTTAGATGCAGCAGGTTATTTATTATGGATGTTTTGAACCAATGTGTCATAGTACATCATCTCAGATGCTAAAAGATGAGTCCTATTCCTTTAGTCTTGCAGAAATGACCTGCTTACTCTGCTATCAAGTATGAAGTTTCTGCCTAGAACAAAAATTCAGTGGAGTTTTCAATTTCCCTTAAGCTTTAACCTGAATTTATTTTTCCCTTGGGCCTGTGTTGCAGAAGAACTGAGAACACAAAAGAAATTGGGAACCCCAGAGAGTAAAACATTACCCTTATTCTAAAGAGGGTGAAGTATATGCTGGCTCAAACCTCCCCATCTGTGGGACAAGGCTGCATTTTTGGTTTTCTGCTCTAGATCTGGTGCCCACTTTCCCAGCATCTCCGTTGCTATGTTCTAGAAATAACTCGTCTTTTCTGTTTTTCATATGGAGCGGGCAGCAACCTCACATGCTGCACAGCAGGATGACCAGAATGATATCTTTAGCAAAAACCTGTTGAACCCAAGCTTTTATGAAGAAGTAGCTTCTTTCTGAGAAAAGCTTTCACAGCTTTCCTTCACCAACCAGCTCTACCTAAAAACTAAGTGGACAATAGCTAAGAACAGAAAACAAAGCTTGGGCCACATATGCAAGGGCTAAAGAGCTGCAAATGCTATTGTGACATATCACAAGTGACTTGTGAGAAAATGGGAGATGTTGTGGAGGCATCGCAGTTGTATAAGTCCCTGAATGGTTCTTAGCTCAGGAGAAGCTGGAGTGAGGAGTGTCTAGAGACAATCTAGTTTCCTGAAAAAATAAGCTTGTGAGATTAGCACAGAACTGGAAAATCTGGGGAAAGAAGCATGATGCTAAAATGTATGTTTCAGGACGTGGAAGCTTAGGTTTTTAACTTTAAATTTCCATGTGTTCTTTGTGAGACTGCATTCAGGTGTCTACATATGGTGAGAGTGGAAGGAGAGTCAGAGGACTGTCATGGGAAGACCTTGAACATTAGACCTTGTACAATGCTGACTTTCTGCAATTCTGATAAAGAACTGCAACAAATCCAAGTCCTGATAAAAACCCATATACCCCTTGGAACATGCAGTGTCCCCTCTATTATGTTATATTATGTTCTGCAAGCTCAGTGTTTTTCAAAGTGGATTCAGGCGCTAGTATCACGGAGCCTCCATTTTCAAAAAAAACATAATCCTAGCTCCTAAAATCACAGGTGGGCTTAAATGAAGTGTTTTGAGGAGCGAAACATATGTACACCTTTCTGTTTTTGCTTGTTTCATTTGGGGTTGTTTCCTAAGCTTTGCTTGATGAGCGAACAGCTTAAAAACTTTAAAAAAAAATAAAGTAAAAAAAAACAACCCCAAAACAAGGTGGCAGGATGGAGGCCAGCAGCCAGAACCCCTTGCAGGCAGTGTGTTCCCTGGAGCGCTGCCAGGGTCGGGAACACGGGGGTGCCAGGGGAGGACCGGGAAGGGACGTAGCTCCGCCGATGAGTCAGCTGCCTTGGGACCGCTTGCCACAGAGACCTGCAGCCAGGAACAGCCCTGCTCCAGCGAGCTGCCTTCCCTGGAGAGGGGGCTTATGGCCACAAAACAGCCTGGGAAAGGCTGTGAAAACAGCCTGCCTATAAAGCTATTTGTATTCTCAAAACAGAGAAATGTTACATGGAATATAATAGAAAGTGAGAGGGAGTATATGGTATCCACAGAGCTGCCACCACAATGCATTTTTTAAAAGGACTGTGAATATAAATCAAATTGCAAAGGAAATAAAAATCCTCCAAAGGCTTCAGGAGCTTACTTACCCTTTCCTGACCTGCCCCTGTGGGATCTCAAGTGATTTTGCACACAGTAGGCTGGTGGTACATCAGCCCTTTTTACCTCATGCTGGCCAAAATTCTGACTCATTGGAAGGATCAAAAAAAGCACTATAATAAGTATGCGAGTGTCATGAAAGATTTATTTATTTCATTTGGGTTTTTTCCCCTCCCCTTGGGCTATAGTTAGACCCAGCTTGGGGAGGCAGAGGTGAAAGGAAAGCACATTGAACAATTTAGAGGTGATATAACTTTGGACTCTTGAAAAATCAGATTTTAAAGACTGCAAATAAACTGCTGCATGGCTCAGCTGTAACATGACATTTAGTATGTGTCATAAGTCTTGCTTCAAAATAGAGCCTGTCAGCTAGGACAGCACAGGGGGCCTGACAGAGATAATGGATGGAATGAGACTTCCAGCTGGAAGAATGAAATGGTGAAGTCCATAATCAAAACGTGAGGAGCATTTTAGGGATGATTGTAAAAGAGTTGGCAGAAGAAAGGCAATGAGAGTTTGAAGGCTTGAGAAATGAGAGAGTCCAGAATTGTACCTATACTGAAACAATACTGAGAAAGATCTGCAGCCAAGCCTGTGCTTCTCTGCACTTGGAGAAAAATGGTGTTGTACCTGGGAGAGAGTAGGGATCCTCAGTAGACAGTGTGCCATAGACATGGAGCAAGAGGTCCATACCCTAGAGAGCTGACCATCAAACCCTGCGTGGACATAAATCCAAGCGTTAGGGAACAGACTTCTATACTATTGAGGTTGTTTACTCATCCTTTCCTCCTACAAGGAGCTTCCCCTGGATAGGGAGAACATGGAGGACAGGAACAATAAATGGGAGAAGAGCTAGAGGGGGTTTCTTGGGAGAGTATTGGATTCAATACTGCTGTGGTGCTGGGGAAGGCCAGGTCAAAGATGTACCATGTGAGGGAACAGGGAGCTCTGGCTCCCACAGCAGTGAATCAGGTTGCTCCTCATTTCAAAGGTACTGCGGTTATGGCTCTCACAGCTCACCTCTCTCTTGACTAGGTTTAGCCAGTTGGCTCCTTCTTACTCCATTTTCTTCTCTTCATCAGTTAGCACCTGCTGAAGTGGAGGCACTGTTGCTCTTGGCCCGCATGGGTGGAGATAAGCAAAGGATTTCATTTCAAAGGACTCATTTGGAAATTTCAGATCTCAAAGCATAGAATAGCAAGTCACAGCTCTAGGGGTGACCACAACTCATTGTGAAACAACAGAGGAGAGACTAATACACTGACTGTAGGGAGCTACTTTGGGACTATGTCAATGTGTGGTTTTTTTCTGAACATATGGTAAAAGTGTTTGTGTCTGACACCTTTTCATTTCCGACTGAAAAATTATCCCTCTTCTTCCCCTTCCACTTACTCAATGTACTACCAATGGAGAAAAAGAAATCTAAATAGCATCTCTGTTGTAGGCAGCTTCCCAGTTTGAGAGCAGACACTGTCAATAAGGTTTATTTTATCATAAGCGCTCTATAGAAACTGTATCTTTTAATTACTAGACCTATGATGTGGATTTAAAACTATTATATTTCTAATTGATGCAGGAGTTATAATTAAGAGAAAAAGTGGAGAAATTCCATGTCCGTTGGCAGTTGAAGCCTTTGCTGCTCACCTTAGCTACATCTGCAAATATGACGACAAATACAGCAAGTAAGTAAGCACATATGCATGAGGGTGTGTATTTCTTCCCGTCCTCCACTGTTGCTGCAGTGTTTGAGTTCTCCCCATTGAACTGCAGCTGAGGGCCCAATCCTGCTTTCAGGGAATTAATCTCTGACATAACTCCTGTTTCAGTAAAAGATGAGAAGCTGGCTCTGCACAAGGGCAAGAGCTGCATTGGCTAGTGTTGTTTTGGCCTTGTCTACCCAACCACCAGTCAAAAAAAAAAAAAAAAAAAATTGAGGCTTAGGTTCTTACCATCTTGTAAATTACTTTTAAGATGTGTTGGGAAGTTGACCCGTCAGGCTGATGTCCTTGGCCACATTAAATTGAAGGCTAAATAGAGGATTCAGCAAGGGTCTACCAGCCCCACAGGTCTCTCAGGCTAGCTCAGCTCTCCAATTCTATCAGTAGATGGTGTTTAGGTGATCATCTGTCTCAGTTGTGTTTGCGTCACCTGGAGCCAGAAGAAAAGGATGTTTAGTTGTGGATGTAAAGCTGATCTAGATGATCTGGGAGAGCAGAATGTAGATCTTTTGGCTCCTGGATTCAAGTTGGGGTCCTCAGTGTTAGCTCTTAATGTAGCAGGGAGAAACAGAAACGAGTAAGATCAGCAGTGGTAAAGCTTGGCTGTGGGAGTAGCAATGAGGTCCAGAAGATTTCAAGAACTAAAAATTGAGGAGGGAGAAAAAACAGCAGGGATTTTCCAAGCCAGTTCTGGGCAAGACAGCAAGAATTCAGTAGAAGAGATGAAAGAGGAGGAGGTGGTTGCTGGAGACTGTTGTTGAGTTCTGATCTGATGAAATCAATACAAAAAAAATGGTGAGGTAGTAGATTTAAATGGTTACTGAAAAAATCGAAGTAGGAAAGTGGGAAAACTTCTGCCCGGAGCACAAATACTCTGGCAGACCTAGAATTAGTCAGAACCTAAATATAGGCATGTCAGTCCTTTCTCGCTCTGCCTTGTGGAGAGGTGCTCCACATATCAGCACTGCACTCTCTGGCTCTTCCCCCACATCCTCCCACCTGCTGTTGACAGCAGCAGAAATCATTCAATTCTCTCAATAGAGATAAACAAGAGAAGCATCAAAGCAGTCTTCCCTAAACTGTAACAATGTGTCTGAAGCTTTTTTTTAAGTTGCAAATTGAAGGGATTCAGACCCACAGCTCCCATCACATGGATGTTTGTCATGGGTAAGCTTGAGGAGTCCATATCAGTACTCTTACTCACTGGAGTGACTGTACAGAAGTAAGAGTGTTGCTGATGTTTTGCTCCTGAGAGCAAGGGTGTCTGTTCTCTTAGGTACTACTAGATATTTCTAAAATGATGCAATTTAACTGTAAACGGTTGTCAGATACATTGTACAAAATTTAAGATGATACTTGCACTAGGTATTGAGTCCTGGGCCTGCTTCCCCTTTGAGACTGCAGAATATTTTTCTGCGGTTGTTTGTTGCATCCCAGCTGCAAGCATTGATGAATTGTGCTCTTCCCTCTGCTTCCCTCTTGGCTTTTTTAGGTATTTCATTTCTCACAAACCAAACAAGACCTGGCAACAAGTATTCTGGTTTGCCATCAGCATCGCCATAAACAATGCCTACATCCTCTACAAAATGTCCGAGGCCTACCACGTGACGAGGTATAGCCGCGCACAGTTTGGTGAAAGACTGGTAAAGGAGCTCCTGGGCTTGGAAGACACCTCACCCTCCCATTGATGCATTGTTCTTGGTGGCATAGTCAGGGGATGGAGGCTAAGCAGAAGACACCACACCTGAAAGAGCAAAGCAAGGAACTTGTGACAAGGCAGTGCTGTCCTTATCCAAAAATGCCAAGTGATGCCACTAGGGAGGTCACAACTTTGTTCCTAGTAGCAGCTGGATGTCAACGTGTCCTGCAGAACACGCCACCGGAAAAGCTGACGCAAAATCACCTGTGTGAACGCCCCGTGGGAGTCTGTGCACCAGAAGGAGCTTAAATCAGTCATCATCTCAATGCTATTCGTTGCACCAGGGTATCTGGTAAAGCTCCTCTTGGGCAAAAACCCTTGTCAAAGGCTGGCATGGCTCAGCAGTCCTAGGCGGGCATTAGAGAACCCTTACTTGGAATTACTCCATTCTGGGACAAGCAAAGCAAGGCTGCACCAGGGGCTGAGGCTGAGAGCACCTCCATCCCACGAGGCACTGCTGCCATCCTCCCCCTGTGCTAGATACACAGACACTGGAGCGAGTGTCCTGACAAAAAAAACCTTCACAGGCAGGCAGCCAGGAACTGAGGACCCGTTATGACCTTTTATTTCTGTCTTGCTTTGGTTTGTTTTTATTAATGTAATGTAAGGCAATTGGATCTCAGTTAGAACACAGCAAAATTAGGAGAAACCAAATATATTAGTGAGTTAAAAATGGAAATACATTACATTGATTTTCTTTTTTAACCAGGATGAAACATTTTGTACGCAAACAAACAGTGAGTAATACTGGAAGTGAGCAAACCAGTAAGTACTACTGCCTCACATCTTAACTGCCACGGTTGGTGTACAGGTGAGAAATCAGAGTATAGCATTTATATTTTTTCTTGATTTCAACTGTGTCTTAAATGTAAAAGCCTAATATAAAGGATTGTTATGTTTTTAGGAACAACAATTTCTTTCTTTTCCTTTTGTAATTGTCAATAATTTTTTGATCCGTTTTGGAACTTCATTTGGCACACAGTTGGCAGGAAAAAAATAAGTCCCTAGTAGCAGTGTGGTTCCCGTTATCGCTGCAGGGTGTTTGTAGGAATTCTCCTTGTTAGAATTCAGGGCTTGTCACAGTAGTTGTAATTAAGCAGATTACATGTTTAGCAAAATGACATAGCATTGTGTTTTACAAAAAGGAAGAAGTCCAGTCACAACCAGACCTTAAACCCCAGCAAAACAGAGCAAGCCCAAAGAGTTCTCCTGTTCTGAGTGAAAACTGTAGACGACAGGCATCGTCATGAGCTGGTGCCCAAGGCTGAAACACCACATTTTGGTGCTAGTGGAATCTGAAGGCTGCCAAAGCTTTGGAAAACAGTGTTGAAAGAGGGGCACGATTCAAATGGGAGAACTGATACTAAGGTGAAACACTAAAATACTACCCTGCCTTCAACACATTTGTTTTAGTCCACAGCTCAATCAGCAAAAAACGCTGTGTTCTAAAGGTTAGCAGCGATGGACACAAACAGAATTACATTAACTTGCAGGACAGAAACCATGTTACTTAGAGGACCAGCTGGTTTTAGGTCCCCAGGCCTGAAAAGTTTTACCAAAGAATGGCTTGGACTGGTTTGAGAGAAATGGAGCAATAGATTGATTCCTTAATCAGTGTAAACCTCACCAAGTTATATGTATCTGTCTGGCAAGAGACAGTATAGGGCAACCAACATGAATTTGAGAACTTCCCAGATTTCATCATAATGTGCTGTGCAAATGCAAAGCATGTAAATCATAACAGAGGAGGAATTCAGTGGGGGTTACTGACTAGCCCAAAGAGCATCCTTGCTCTGACATCTTTCTACTTCCACCAAAGGTTTTTTGGTTTCGTTTGTTTGTTTTTGGGGGGGGGTTTTTTGGAGTAGACTTAGAGGCAGATCTCACCTGGTTGCAGGGAGAGTAAGGAGATGGACAACTCCATGGTGGTTCTGCTTGCAATACAGCCTGGAGACTCTTCCACACGTCCTGCACTGCCTGCCAGCTGCACGATGCACAGCAGTGGGTTTCCTAAGCATCCTTTTTCACTTCTCATTCCGCAAGGTCTCCACCCAGGAAACATGGGAGAAAGGACAAACTCTCGTGCACTGAGGCTCGTTAGCCTCAAAAGGAAGGCGTGGGTCTGTACCACTCTAGTCCTTGGCAATCCCAGGCAGCCCAAGGATGAGGTCAAAGCTTCTTGGCCCTGCAGAGAACGGAGACCAGCCCTCTTCAGACTGAGCGTGTGTGATAGCTGGTTCTTGTCAGTCTTGTAAGTTCTCAAAGTGGGAGAGGAGCTAACGTGAGATGTGAAAAAGAGATGTTCAGCAGTATAAGCCCACAGTTTCCTTTTTTTGGGAAATTCCACAGAGGTACCTAAAGGCAAATGGTGTTCCTATTGCTCCCTGCTTCAGACAATGCCAGCCTATATTGCAACAGTAAGAGTTGCTACAAGTTCATTATGTCCTGTAAATTTACACAGTAGTCATACTAGGGCAGTAAGGAAAGGTCTGGCTGGAACTTCGCTGATGAGACAGCTTGAATGAACAGTAGCTGCTGGGAGCCCACCTTCCCTTCGTTCCCCTCCAATGCTGGAGCATTTGCAAGGTGTGCATGCCCCCAGCAGAGATGGGGAGCTTTGCAGGATCTCCTCAAAGCCACTTGGCACTTCTGAGGAGTAAGTACTGTGCTCTCCAGCTATGTTGTAGACCCCTAAGATAGATCTGTAGCCCTTGGCCAATTGTTACATTGCTATGTATGCTTAAAGGCTTAGATCTAGGCCATCCCATACAGAAAATGCCTTTTATTTTTCAGGTGACAGTGGGTTCAAGCCCTTGGAATGTTTAATTTTCCACTAATGTATGCTGTTAATTATGTGGATTACTTGAGCTAAATTCATGAGGTCCTAGCTTTTTGCCTCAGGGACTGGGTCCTGAGTAGTTTTCCCTAGAATTGGTGTTGATGGGGGATTACACAGTGGCTATTTATATACAGGGAAGATGCTTTAGTCTCCTTTGCAAAAGGAGAAAAATGAAGACGAAATTATAGCTTTGCGATGAATTTAATTTTGTTAGCCTTAATCATCCCTCATCATTTTGAACTGGTGCCCTAAATGTGCACAAACATTCCATACATAAGCAAAAAAAATTTATATATATTTATATGTACAAAATGCCTGAAGTTTTGGCTCTCAAAGCCAACAAGCAAAAGCCACCAAAGCATAGTCTATATCCACAGATGACTATTCCACCTCATTAACTCCATTTATTGACTGGCAGTGGATAGGGTTGGGGAAAGTTAAGATTTCTCCTTGTTAAAAAAGCATCTTGCACTTTTAGTTTTTTAGTTTTTAAAGTTTGTTACCTGCAGCTCAGCTTCTGTAGCTTTTCCTTTACTGCAAACTGGCTTACTCAGACTTGGTTCCCCCACCTGCATGTAACATTAAAACTTTTCCCTGATTAAAGGGGGAAAAAAAAGGGGGTTGGGAGTGTTTTAGTCTCAAAGTAGTGCAAGGATGCTAGTTATAGCGTGTGTGTGCGTGCTGTTAATTGTGCAATGGTTTGTGAAATCATAGCAAGTCTGGGTTGTTTTGTCCTTTTTATTTTTTTTTTTTTGTAGCCTTGAGACAATCTTTAGCTCAGCAGTAGCTAAAATGCCAACCAGGTCACAGGGGAACATCTCTAAATTTTTCCAGGAAAAAGAAAAAAATTGAAGCTGAAGTAGAAAAAGGAGCAGCAAGTCTCATTTCTCTCTATCTAAATTGAATTTTCACTCACAAATACTTCTGAGAGCTGAAAATTACTTATTTATGGTATGCAAACTTTGTTTCAGAGAACCAAAACCATCAGTAGGACATATTGACCACCTTCTATGCACAGTACTTCTTTCAAGAAAAGTCTGTCTTGTCTGTTCTTGGAAAACCCCTCACTAGAGCTTAGAAGCCACCATGAAATGGTTTCCACTGCTGTTGTCTCAGTTGAAAAATGCTTCAAGGGCTTGCAGAAACTCTGCCACTTTTTACTTCAGCCCATTTGTGCAGTTGACACTAGGGAACAATTTAAAGAAATCTCATCTCCATTTTCCATTTCTGTTCTCTAGCCCATACACTTCTACATGGCAAGGTAGTCTGAGAGTCCCAATTTATAGAAGTCTCAGCGTCCCTAGTGGGTACAACTTTGTTTTCTTTAGACAATCATTAGAGAAAAAATGAATTTAGCTGTTTCCAGACTGGCATTAAGGACAGCAACCCAAACCAGCATTCCCATTCTTTATCTTCAAGCTACACTTCTTTGGCTGTTTTTTAGCTGAAGAGGTTTTGTTTGTTTGTTTTTTCCTTCTAACATTTATTTAGTGATCTGTCTTGAGCTGGTGGATAGTGAAAAAAGCCTCAATATCTCAGTCTTGCATGTCTTAGTTCCCTAGTCCTAGAGCTGATTTTAGTGATGAATGGAGGACTATGCTGCACTGGTAATCCTGCATATCTGTGCTACTTTCCATGCAAGGATTGCAAAGTGCTTTAACAACCTCAGCACTCATGAGACATTGTTAGCTCATCAAATAGCAGGTCCTCCTTCCCTAATCAGACACTGAGGCACAGCACAGGTAAAGGGTTTGATGTAGTGTTCACACTTCTGCTGATTAAGTCCATGTTGTGCATTTTCAGTGACTTGGTTCTTGTTCAAATGCACTTTCCCAAACTAGAAAGGAGAGCATGCCAAACTTTATTCCACCCTGAAGTAAGGGCTGTGGGACTTTGTCACAGCACAAGTTCTTTTTTCTGTATAGGCTGGTATGAGCTAAAACCAAGTTGCAATGAAGGTAGGAGAAAACTGGATAAAACGTAGCAGCGCAGCCTGCCTAGAGGAGATAAATGGAGATTCTGAAGCTCTGCTGTAGTCCAGTAATCAAGGTGAAATTCAGACAAATATTTACTAAGACTGACTTGAGTAAAGTCACTGAGGCTTAGATGGAATATGAAGTCTTCCATCCATCTATCTCTATTGTGGAGTTTGCCACAACACTTTCTTATTGCTAGAACTGATGTAGGGTGTTTGTAAAATAAGAGCTTGTCTCAATCTTCTTGAGAATAATTCAAATGTCAAAGGACTGTTAGCAACCTTTCACAAAGGCAAGGAACTCTTAAGCTCAAAACATGTTTATATTTGTGTGTCATTCACTAGGATATTTTGCAGATAGATCTCATCATCTGCTCACGTGCAAGCCTACAACTAGTGCTATTTGAGATTATATATTCCTTCTTGTAACAGTTCTTCCCAAACTTACCTTTGTTTCCAGAAGCATTACAAACTGGAATG